GCTCCAGAAGCCCCGCCTCTGGGCACATGCGGTCTTGGGGACATTGGATCTGAACTGCACAGCGCCTCTCCCTGGCCAGCATCGAGGTGCAGGCAGGCTGGCTGCTCCTGGAGTCTCAAGGTGCCCTCTTCCCTGTCTTCCCGGTCTGCACCCAGCATCCCGTGGGAACATGCAGGCAGCAGGAGACCCAGCCCGAGAGCCACGCAGCCTGGGCTTCCATGAGCCTTGGATTCAGACCCACACCCATGGGCCCACAGTGGAGAAGGAAGGTCCTTTCCTCCCACAGCATTCTCATCTTTGGTCTGCTCAGGTTGGCGTGAGGAGAGCCAGGCTCCCGGGGCGAGCGTGCAGTGCCTTCCCAAGGGTCAGCTCATTTCTTCCGTTCTGCATCCCCAGCTGGTCTTCTTAGTCGCTGGCACAACAGGTGGGGTCCGCGTGGTGCACCCTGGCACGTCATCGTGTCCCTGTGAGGAGGGTCTGAGGACGCACAGCAGCTGATGCAGATTGAGGGCCTTTCTCTCGGGAACTCTGCAGATCTGGAGTTTTGGTTCATAAATTAACAGCACCTGCTGGCTGCCCCCGCCCCTGGGAACTGCTGGTGTTTGTTTTGGTTTGGTTTTGATGTTTTGCCATCCAGGGAATTAAACCCCAGGCCTTTGCTCTGAGATACACACCCAGGCCCCCTCCCTTCTTAATGTTTTGAGACGGGGCCTTGCCAAGTTACCCAGCCTGGGCTCAAACTTGTGATCCTCCAGCCTCAGGCTCCCAGAGCACTAGGATGACAGGTGTGCACCACCAAGCCCAGCTGGGGGCCTCAGTTCTTATTCCCATCCCTGGCCATGGAGATCAGCTGTCAGGGGTGACCAAAGGTGCTCTGGGCGCCGGTGGCAGGGAGAGGGGGTGGTGTCACCATGCAGAACAACCCTGGAGTGGCACGGTGCAGCGCAGCGTCCCCCTGTATCACCGAGGTGCCGGCTCCCGGCGATCAGGAACCAACCGCGGCGGCAGGAGCCACTGCCCGCAGAGCTGGGCTCTGGCCAAGTCCTGCAGTCTCGCTGGAACGGACCCCTGGCTCCCCCGGCTCTGCTGTGTTAAATGCACTTGTCCTGATTCGCTCTACCCAGGGCTGGCACAGCCTGTTCTTTCTATGCATGTGTGAATGTACATACATGAATACGCGCACGATGTTGGTGAGTTAATGGTGGCCCTTGTGGGGCGTCTCCCACCCACCCCTCCTGTCCTTGTAGGGGCCCAGAAGGGGCAAAGTTCCGTCCTTTCTGGGGGTTCACAGTCATAGGCAAGATGCCCACAAAAAATCACAACAGAGATGCACTGCAGTGGTGATGGTCTGAGAGGTGTCACCAGGATCCACGTCAGGGGTGGGGGTCTGTCCCCAGGGTCTTGAGTGGGAGGACCCGGCCACGTCAGAGCACAGCCGAGGGGTGTCCGACTGGGTGGCAGATGGCTGTCAGGTGCAGTGGCCTGGCGTACTGGGGACTGGACCCTGGGGCTCTGCACTGGACCTTTGCACTTCCACTGGTCACATCTGCTGTCCTCTGGGGACCTTGGTGGCAGGAACTGGCGCAGGTGCTGCCTGCACATCTGGTGCAGCTGTCCTCCCTGGCGCAGTGACCCACCTCCCTGATGGCCAGCGACATCGACGGGCGAGGAAGGTGCTGTCTGTTCTGCACCAGGGTATCTCATCCACCTGGAGGGCAGGTGGGGAGGGTCCTCCCAGGACAGCTGTGGTGGCTGAGCCTGGTGTCCAGGAGGGGCTGCAGGGCCTTTATGCATGGACACGGGCCTGTGGGCTGCGTCAGAGACTGTGCCCTGGCCTTCTGGGGTGGAGCTGGGCTCCATGAGCTGAGCGCTCAGAACAAGCAAGCACCCATCGGTCCTGTGAGGGAGGAGCCACCAGAGTCGCCACCCAGGGAATGTCACATCCACTTTTCCTTCCCAGTACTTCCTCCTGCAAGCAACTGTCCTGCCCTGAGTGGTTCCTCTGCTGTGGACTGGGGAGAAGGCGGTGACTGCTCCACAACCGTCAGTAGCTCCCATCCCTCCTGCACCCAAGCTTAGTCTGCCTGGTGTTCCTCCCGGGCCTGGCTTATGCCATTCATCTCTGAGGTGGCCGCCCCTCCTGTGCAGAACCCCGGGGGCCCCACGTGCCTTGTCACCACCCACCACAGAGCTGCTGGGACAGAGACCCTTTGGCGGCATCAGAGTTCTGCCGTGTTGTCCAAAGGGAAGAGAACCTCACACCCCGCGAGCCCTGGCCTGGCCTGGTGGAGCCACACTGGGCCTGTCCCATGCATTTCACCGAGTGTCCTCTGTGTGGCTCCACGGCACCGGTGACCCATGAGGCCACCAGGATCTCCCTCCAGCTTCAGGCCTGGGCTTCTGCCCGCTCCTGCGCCGCAGGTTCAGGTTCCGCCTGTCGCCGTGGCACATGAGTGACGTTTCCCTCCTTGCTTTGGCCTCCAGGGAGCCCAGGACCCGAGTGGCCTTGTGTCTGCACCCCTGGTGTGCATCTAGGCACGAACCTCTCTGTCTCTCCTCCTCATCCGCCCATGACCATGAGTCACCTCATCACTGGGTCATTTGCTGCCACCTGTGCTCCTTGGTGGAGGGACGGGCCCAGGCTGAGCCCAGGACAGGCAACGAGATGAGCAGACACCACCCTGGCCTCTTCCTGACTTGGGCTCCTCGCTCCTGGCACTGAGTCACCCAATGTGTGTGCGTCGGGGCAGCCATCCCAGCTTGGTCCCCACAGACCAAGGGACACAGGTGCCTCACGGGTGAACGCTTGGGTCCTTTCGTCCCCTAACAGGCTTGGGGGATGCCTGTCTGCACAGCTTTAGGGCCCATCCGCTGACTGACCCCCGTGGGGAGACTTGGAGGTCAGAACCGGCAGCGGGCGGCCATGGGACCCCAAGGCGTTGGGTGCACTGTGAACCTGGGCCGCACACCTGTGGTTCATTTCATGTCATGAGAATTTCACCTCCATGATAAGAGGAGAGAGAAAACCTCTACAGGATCAGGTGGGCACGAAGTGTCCAGAGTAGGCAGATTTATCAGGACTGGTGGTGGCTGGGGCTGGGCTGGGCCGATGCCAGCTTTGGTTCCTCGAGGGATGGGGATGGTGGAGGGCGGCACAACCCTGAGTATGCCAGCTGTTACCAACAGAGCTGGGTGTGGTGCACCCCAGCCCTCAGGAGGCTGAATCAGGAGGATTGTGAGCTCAAGGCCAGCCCGGACTCTGTAGTGAGACTCTGTTTTAAAATCTCAGTTATTATGAGAACAGGGCCAGGTATTTAGCTCAGTGGTTTTGCCGCCTGCTGCACAAGCACAAGGACCCGAGTTTGATCCCCGTACCAAAAAAAAGGAGAACAAAGCACAACATGTCTACTTGTCTGGGAAGCAGAGCCCCGTGCAGAGATGAGCTTGCTGCCACCTCGATGCCTGCCAGTGTGGCCAGGGTCTCCTCTCTCCCGACCTGGGCCGACCCTGGCTGCTGAGATGCTCTGGCTCGCCTCCTCCCCCGGGCCGGCCGTGTTCTGTTCCTTCAGCTTGGGGTTGTGCAGCCCCTCCCAGGGACACCCTGCCCGGGCTGGGGAGGCTTCCAGGGAGCAGGATCCTCCCCAAGGCCGCCCGGTCTGCAGGGACGGGGTGGAGGTGGCCTCCTGGAGCTGTACGGTGATGGCTCATTGATCGATCTGGCCTTATTGATCAGTGCTTTCTTAATGCCTCATCTCCACGACTTTGCTGTCATCACCACACCAGAGTCCCAAGGGGTCTCCCAGGTGTGGTCCCGCTTCACACTCGGGGACTCGGGGCCACCATGGTATTGAAATGGCCGATTTTCCCAGTTCTAGGAACAGAAACCAATGGTGAGGTAGAATTTTCTCAATGGTAGACTTTGGCACAGGGCTTTTTCTTCAATCTCCGGGGCCTATGCCAAGGTGGCTTGGGGCAGAGGGAGGTAGGAATGCCGGGAAGCAGGTATTCAAGGAGAACTTGGCAATGAGGGTGTTCTCAGTGGCTGGGATTTGTATTTTTGGGTCGGTGTCTGTGCCTTCGATTTATTTTCTCCTAGTGAAAGCATTCCTGTTGGCACAGTGGGATTCTGAGAAAAGTGGAGGGCTTGGGGTATAGCCCAGCAGCCCCTATGACCAAGTGCTGCAGGAGGTGGGACAGGGGCCCGGGCATGTGTCCCTGGGTCCGTGCTGAAGCCAGACCTCTGTGCACTAGTGCTAGGAGCAGGGACTCCGGGGCTGCTGAGGTGGGTCCCCTGGTGGGGCGGGCGCCCTTACAAGAGGAGCCCCAGAGAGTGCCCTGCCTCTTCCTCCAGGGGCGGACACAGCGAGGAGCTGCGTCTGAGGGCAGAAAGTGGGTCCTCCCCAGACACGGAACCTGCCCGCACCTTGGCCTTGGCCTTGGCCTTGAGCATGAGGAGGACGTCCACGTCACTGGGGCTGTGAGCAGCCCGCCGGGGCTTGGCTGAGGCTCCCGGGAGACCACAGGGAGAGTGGGCCTCCATCTGAGGACAGTGCCTGCTGTCCCTGCCGTCCTGAGGGAACGCCTTATGTGTCAAGAGGAAGCATAGCCCTCAGGACTCAGCCATGCACGGTCCTGGCCATCATCCTCTGCCCACTCCTGGTGCCTGGCTGATGGCTGGGTGAGTGACCGGCGGGCATCTGGCAGCTCCTGCTTGCTGGTTGCTGCAGAAGGCAGTCCAGTGTGACTGTGGCCTCCTTTGGCTTGGGCTTTTCATGCACATGTTCAATGACAGAACACATTCCCATATGTCCTAAACCCGGGCTGGTTGGTACCAATGATGTTTGAATGAATGAATGAATGAACGAACAAATGAGATGCTGAGGGTGGAGGGCTGACAAGGTCGCCAGGCCTCGGCCTGCTGCTGAGAGGCTGACTCTGGCCTCCACCCCAGGGCTGCCCCTCGCTTCCTGTCACCCTTCACTGCTCCCCTGTCTCCCCAGGACCTCCCACTCGAGGGCTAAGGCTGAGGCGGCCCTCACGGCAGCTCAGAAAGCCCAGGAGGAAGCTCGGATCGCCAGGATCACTGCCAAAGAGTTCTCGCCTTCCTTCCAGCACCGGGAAAACGGTGAGTCCCACTGGCTGACAAGGTAGCTCGGGCGGGCCATGGCATCAGACGTGTCCCTGAGGCTGCTGGGGGCTCACTGGGGCCTCAGATTCTGCCCAGAGCAGACATCTAGATCACCCACTTCCCTTCCTGCAACTGGGTACCAGGCAGGGTCTCGCATGTTGCGTGAGTATGCTCATCTGCGTCTTGGTTGACACTCACCTCGCGTGTGCTGGCCCCCATGTTACCCCGAACTTCCTTCGAGGATGGAGTACCATTAGCTACGTCCAGCATGGCAGCCACCAGCCCGTGGGACCTGTGGCTCAAGCCCGAGGGACCACATCTTCTGTTTAACCCCAGACCACCTGCCTACCTTGAGAAGCCCACAGCCATGTGTGGCCAGGGCTGCAGTGCAGACGGACGGTGGCTTCCACGCTGCTGTGTCCTGGGCTCGGGGCTGGACTCTGGCCCCCAGCCAGTGCCGTGGTGTTTTCTTCTGTAAGCGGGTTCCCCATACCACCAGGCTGCACTGGGGCCGAGGCCTCACCCAGCCACACACTGCCCTCGGGGCCTTGGCAGGAAGAACGGGGTTAGGTCCTCATGTCCAGCCCAGGGTGGGAGCAGGACCCATGGTCCCAGGAGCAGTGCTGAACCAGGCACTGGCGCAGGGACAGGAGGCTGTGGTCTGCGGGCTGCAGTAAGGCAAGGGGGTCCGCTGTCTGTCTGTTCTCAGGGTCACCCCAGAGCCAGTGTGGCGCCACTCATGGGCGGCCAGCGTCATCCTCCCTGGGTGCTCTGGCTGGATGTGGAAGGGGCAAGGTATTGCCAAGCCTGCCACCCCTGGCCCGGAGGGAAAGTCAGAAGGACAAAGCGCCCTGCCCCATCTGCCCTACCCTCACCCTGGTGGGCTCCACCTGGTCCCTGCTGGAGGGGCCTCGGCTGCCGCGTCAGGCTCAGAGGCAGCCTCGAGCCCCGGACACCCTGGGGGGAGGGCAGAGCTGCTGGGACACAGGCACTCCAACTGGCCCCCATCAGGCAAGCCACGTGCAGAGTGTGTGGGGACACAGGGGTACCCAGTGCCACAGCCCCCAGCCCGTGGGTCACCCCTACTCCAGCTCTGCATGTCACTCATTAGTTCTACTGCAAGGGCCCGTTCCATCCTCTTAGAGACTCACTTTCGCCATCTGTAAAGAGCAGGAGGCTTGGTATCATCCGAGGCCCTGAGAGGAGCGGCCACATTGGGAAGAAGGCCCTGCAGGTACAGTTGAGGTTAGAGACCTGGACATGAGGTCATCTGGATTGGACAGAGCCCTGAGTCCAAACGCAGCACAGTCGAGACTGGTGGAGCGGTACCAGCACAGCCCAGAATGCCTGGGGCCACTGAAGCTGCAGAGGCCTGGGCCTGAGTCCCCTCAGAGTGCCCCAGTGGCCAGCGGCCCCCCCGAGTTGGACTTTGGACCTCCGGCCTCCATTCTGGTCCCTGTCCAACCTATGGGCCTTGCTAGCTGCAGCTCTTGCTCCCCAGGGGTGGCCTGGGGCTGTGTCCTGAATCTGAAGGCACCTCCTTGCAAAGAGGCCTCTGGGCCTGAGCCTTAGCAGCCTGAAGAGGGCAGCAGGGCTGCAGCCGCCACCGCCCCCGGTGGGGTTCGGACTAGGGACTTGGCGGTGCAGTGCTGTGCCTGCAGACTGGCTGGGAACAGATCCCACCTCCCCGGGGCTCTGGCTCCTGTTTGCTGCCCGGGGAGGCGGCCTCTAGGCTTTCCCCTGCAGTGTCTCCTCCTGAGGTTCACTGTGGTTTTTTTTGGTACCAAGGATCGAACTTGGGTCCTTGCACTTGTGGGGGCAGGCGGCGGAACCACTGAGCTTAAATCCCTGGCACATTATGCATTTTTTATTAGTGCTGGGGTGGTCTTGGGTCAGTTCTGGAATTTGTCTTCCTGTTATCGGGCACTTCCTGTTTCCCTCTAGAATGCAGTAGAGGAATAGTGGACAGGATGTGGCCTGTGGGGGCCTGGGGCTGGGCTGGGCCCCATGGGAGGAGCTGCCATCTCAACAAAGCCGAGGCCACAGAAGAGAAAGACTTGCCCGGGAAGGACTTGCCTTGGAAAGGTCACAGCAGAAGCTATGAGAGAGGAGGCCTGGGCTGCAGGCTCGAGTGTTTCCCGTTTCCAGCTTTGGGCTTTTGTGTTTTGGATTGTTTTTGTTTTTATTCCAGTATGGGGATCAAACTCAGGACCTTGCGCTTGCCAGGCAGGTTTGGTGCCTCTGAGTTAAATCCCCGGCCCTGGCTTTAGGCTTTTGGCCTCCAGCTCCAAGGCCTGGGGCTGTTCAGTGTTCTGCCTGGTCTCTTCCAGGGCAGCGTCCAGTCCCCAGGTCACTCCTGCTGATAGCCCCAGCACCCTAAAGCCCAGAGGCAGGAAGACTGGGGGCCAGGTGCCCCAGACACAAGATGGGGACAAAAACACTGGAATTGTGCTGAAAAAGCACCAAGTCCTGCCATGATAGGCACAGCAGCGCTTCCCAGAGCCTCACATGGTCTGGACTAACCCTGAGCTAGGGGTGCTGCTCCCACCTGGGGTACAGATCTGTCAGTGGATGGTCTCATGGGGGAGGCCACAGGACGCCTGCAGGCTTGGGTCCTGGCTTGCCGGGTCCCTGGTTCCAGAACAGCAATGCTGGCCCCAGGAAGCTGCATCCAACAAAGGGCAAGTGTTGTGGGGGACGGGGCACGACTGTGGTGTCTGATTGTGGCCCAGAGGGGAGGTGGATGGGGTGGAGGGCCCAGGGCTGGGGTCAGGTCTGTGCAGAGTCCCAGAGCAGTTTGGCACGGACCCCGCACCGGGCCCGGTGCCCTGTGTGTGGTGGGACTGCAGCTTCAGTCCTGGACCGGACTCTGAGACCACAAAGGAAGTGACTGGGCCCTCAGTGTCACCTGGC